TTCTATATCTCATATTGTATGCATCAGTTTCTTACCATGACTGTCGTTTATGTGAATGTTCATTCAAAGTATAGTAAGACATATTTACAACTTTAATGAAAATTAGAAAGAGATATTTATATTCCAATGGGCTTATAATTGTAATGAAATTATTGATGACACTGATTTAATTGCATGTTATGAATCATGTAAGATGAGTTCCTGAAGAACTTATATTCTTGAATATTGCAATTACTAACAAACTCTTGAAAATCCAATGTAACTACATCATTGACATCTCAACCTGAAGTTGAGCATATGAGAGTTAATGAGATTTACTATTTGTATTTGTAAGAGAGCTATCGTGTCAATTATGAAACATCTAAAGAGTATCAATGGAATACTTATGCGTGAGAATGTTTTCTTATGGTCCAGAAGAACCATGATTAACGTATATAATTACATGTGTTATATTATAATTCATATGAGATTGAAAAATGACATTAATAATATCAAGTTTTTCATCAAATTATTATTAATGAATGTTTGATCAAATAATGATCATCAATAACGACTTTCAGAAGAAGTCATAACCGCATAAGTTTAACCTTTAAATCAACTGTTAAACAGAGATTTGAAATATTGATATTAGAGATAAACACATGTATGGTGAAATGAAGACACTTCACATGTTAACGTGAAGACTTGAAGATGCAATTTCAATTTAGGAGGATCGAAGATCATATCAATGAGTGATATTTTACTGCATATGAGAAGATATACAACATATTGGATTCATTGTTGCGGCACTAGAAGATCTCAAGTTATGTATTCATCAGGGAGAGAAAATACGCGCTGCACTCTTTTTCCCTTGACCATGGTTTTGTCCCACATTGGGTTTTCTTGGTAAGGTTTTTAATGAGGCAGCATCTCGAGCGTATTACGAAGAATGTTGTACTCTTTTTCCTTAATTAAGTTTCTAACCCATTGGGTTTTTCCTATTAAGGTTTTAACGAGGCACAATCTTCGATAATGGACATCCAAAGGGGAGTGTTATGAAAATATTGTGTGGATATCCATTATCCTCTTTGTATGTTTCCGGATTATTCTAGATCTAGGGTTTATTGTTATCTAAGCAAACCCTACTTATTATATTCTGTGTATATATACCCCTAGTATATGGAATAATATAGACAGATCAATTCTCTCTCAATCTCTCATCTTTCCCCTTTATTTCACAACAATATATATATATATATATATATATATATATATATATATATAATAGAAAAACAACATGTTCATAACACAAAAAACTAAATATTCATAAAAACTTGTATTTGTGGTTGAGCTTTTACAATTGTTGGCTTTGAACCATCATTCGCTAACTATATTAGAATATACATGTTCATAATCACACTTGAATGATCAATAGAAAACTGTACAAATTAAAAGCTAAGGGCTTGTTTGGCATCATTTTTGGTTTTCAGTATTTTTTTTTTAAAACTAAAAACAGAAAACAAGAAAAAGACGTTTCCATTTTTCTGTTGTCAGTTTTTAAAATTATTATGATTTTAATAAGTTTAAATACCTTTTAATCCATTATGTGACATATATCACATACTTTCATACAACAAAATCCAAAAAACAGAAAAGCACAACAATACCAAACAAACCCTAAACATTCAGTTCTTGTATCAAGTCTCTCATAGGACCTAATATTTCTACATTTATTATCTTTATAACCCTCATCAGAACAAATAAATCCTTTCATAGAAAATGAATCATCTCTTCGCCTCTTACTCCTCCAAACTCTCATTCCAAAACCTTTTATAAAAAAATACTCCTTATACATTTCATAAGCATCATCTTTGGAAGGAAATTGTTTCCCCAAAAAATCAAACTGATTTGTTTCTTAAAAAATAATAGCATCCTCTTTTCCCACTGCAATAAATAAACATGTAACAAATGAACACTATATAGTAGCAGTAATTGTCAATTACAATAATGCATTCGATCACTTATAGTTAAATTACTATATGTAAAAATATAAGTGATCATCTATATAGTTACATAATTGAACATTATTTATGAAACTATAAAACATTAATAATCATTAAAAATCACATGTACAACTTATAATTCCATAAACACAAGTATATATATAAATGAACATTTATAATTGCATAATTGAACATTATTACAACAATACAGAATAACAAATATTAAGATATTTTATTAGGGAACAAATATTAAAATACGTTCACTAGTTAAAAATAGATATGAGTATCTTTAAAAGAATGAAAATCATTGAAATTCACATGTACAACATATATATTCAAATACAACTAAAATAAACCTATAGTTTACTATAAAAAAAAAACATACATTAAACATAAATGAACATTTACTATTACGCAAGTGATCAATTTTTTTAACTAAGATTATTTTTATACGACACAACAAGCTGATAAAAACAATCGGTTAGCAATATTATTATAACAACTATAGATGTTCATAGAAGACACACAAAACTGGAAAAGCATCAATCAAATAATAAGATTACAATCAAAATTACAAAATAAAAACAATAACGCAAATAAGAATCAAATTAGAAGAATATTACAACCAAAACTATATATGAATCAATTAATAACAACAATAACAATAATAAAACCAGAGCATTATCAAAATTAAAATCAATACAACAAAAACTATGAAATCAAAGCATTATAATCAAAATTACTCACATTAATTGAATCACAAATTACTCACATTAATTGTTAAACGAGTCTAGTAAACCAAGGAGGAAAAATAGAGTCACAATCATGATCAAATGCAATTTTTTTTTTTTTTTGAAAAGACATGATCAAATGCAATTGAGATAGAAATCTCCATGGAAGAAGAGAAAAATTTGAAAAATAAAATAAAATAAAAAAACGTAGGAGAGAGCAAGTGAAACTAGTTAAAAGAGGAGAGAGAAATTAAAATTGGTGAAATGAGGAGAGAGAAAAAGAAGGAAATTTGGTCTGAAAAGAACATTTATACTTGCTTGAATGGAAAGTAAAGAGCAAAACAAAAAAAAATGAAAAAAAAATAAATAAAACTTACGGGGGAAGGGGGATAAAACGATGTAATTAGTTGGGGGGTGTAGGGGAAGCTGCTTAGCCTAGAGTGTTGGGAAATTTTTGTAGTCCAAACCCGCCCTATTTTCGGGCTAGGGGGCTGGGCCAATGTTGATCACCTCTAGTCATGTATTACTCCATTTGATTTTTGTAGGCTTGTGTAAGAAGAGGGAGGTGCGTCCATTTTGTTTATCGAGATGATGGTTTGATATTGCATGACTAGGTTGTTCAGAGCGTGATCTAAGTCAAACATCAAACTGTTTTTTTTTCGTGATTTGTAGTTTTAAATTGTAGTGTAGTTAGAACTTTGACCAAATTGCTATTTGCGGTTTAGGTACGGTTTCAAAATAATTTTAACCAAACCTCATCACGACTATAAACCACTTTTATAATTTAGTTGTATTAAATTAAAAAACATATAAAGGTTTAAAACTAACCTAGCATTACTATATCATTATACGGAGTACAAATGTTTTATGCTTCGTAATTATAAAATTATTTATTATGTTATAAATTCATAACTATCATAAAACTGTTGGTCATGTTTGGTGAATAGTTTAAAGTTAAAAACTATAGTTGATCGTGTAAATAGATTTGGACTAGTTGATTATATTAACTTATTCGACTAACAAATTTGGTAAACAAATAGTTGTTTAAAGATGTTTGAGTATGCAAAATGACCGATAGGACATATTATCATTTCACCTTAAATTATATTTATATTAGTTAATCTGCAGAAAATTATCAAATCAAACATTTTTACCCTAATAAAAGCTCACCAACCGACGCTCTAATTGTGTTTTGTGCGGTTTCTTAATAAAATTGTGGGATTACATCTAGGGTAAATAGCTTGCCAAAAGCTTTAGAATATGGATACGACCTAATCAACAATTGTCAATAGGCCATCCAATACATCCACTGACCGGCTCCTAATATAGCCATTAGTTCATATATATAGATATAGGCCGTAGGTACACATATACTAGATGTGTTCAAAAGATGACCCTTGAGGCCTTGAATGATTAAGTTTGCAATTGAACTACTAAGAGTATGTCCATTGGATGACCAAAACTTTGGTCATACTTTGGTCATGAAGAGAGAGAATCATAAAATAGTATTAAAATAATAGAAATAAATAAAAAATGGGGTATTTGACTGATGACCCAGGCTTCCCCATGACCAAAACATGATTTTTGGGCAAAGCATGGGAGAAGGCCACGTGGAATTGCATGTCCCAAATTACTTTGCAAAAGACAAAAAAACGGTAACTTCCATGAAGAAAAGTCACTGCATCTTTTTTTACTCATTTAATCCAATGGTTAGCATGCATCAATTGTAGATACATCTAACGGTCCAAAATCATTGTTATTAATAACGTTATAATTCTTATAACGGTAATAATTTTTAAAATATGAAGTTTAATAATAAAAAAAAATTGTTCCAGCGACTATATTTTTTTCCCTATAAAATAAGTCTAATATTGAAGTATTTTCATACAATTATTCATCTCCCTAAATTACACACTTTCAAATAGAAACATCTTCTTATCTACTAAACTCAAAAATACGATATTGGATATGGATAAATCCAATAGAAAAAAAAAATCCCTCCAAATAAAAAAAAAATCCTTCTCAACAACTAAATAATCCGAATAATCAACCTTCATTTTCTAATAGTCAAATTGATCTCAATGCTCAACTACAACCAAGCTCTCAATTTTTCCCACAATTTCCAAATTATGGAATGTATAATATGAATTTTGCACGTTCAGTGTCCAACACAGAAGCCCCTTTACGACCACCACAAAATCCATATACCTCTCATTCTCATAATGCTTTATTCATCTGAAGGAAATGTATACATGAAACAACATTTCCTATGTCACAACACTTTTCAATGGGTGAAGGCGAAGGTGCATTTTCAAATTTTAATTGGGCTTATAGATTTACCGCTACTTCAGATGATGAAAATGACGACGAGGTTGAAGAAATTGAGGAAAATAATGAAGGTGACGATACAGGAGGTGGAAGAAATTTTTGGTCACACCCCGAAGATGAGGTTCTTGTAAGATCTTGGCTTGAGGTTAGTAAAAACAAAAAAACTAACACTAACCAAAAAGGGGCTGAATTTTGGGGAAAAATTGAGCAAATATTTAATAATGTTAGACTATATAGAGAGAGGTGTTTTGAACAAGGTACTGATGGCATTACGAAGGGTGATTTATTAAGAGTGAGGGGTTTGGAGCAGCTTAGATGTCGTTGGAGAAGGTTGAATGTCAATTGCTCAAAATTTGCTGGTGCTTACGCACACGCTGAGGAAAAAAGAGGGAGTGGGCAATCAGACGATGATGTTATTAAGGTAGCCCGTAAAATTTACAGAGACGACAAATCAAAAAAGAATACCAGTACAGTACAAGCATGCTTTGGATATTTTAAAAAACGAAGAAGCATGGGCCAAAAATGAAAATTTTGTTGAGACGTGTAAGCAGAAGACTTCAACCCAATCAAATGTCTCTAAGAGATCACGGATCAATGAAGCTGGTAACTATTCATCTTCAACAAACCTAGAAACACCAACCAGCGGTGACATGGATTGTTCCGGCTTCCCCTATAGTGCTGACTCCAACAAAAGTAAAGGTAAGAGCAAAGTGATGAATGCTCCTTCTGAGTCATTTCAACAATGGTTGGATACTCTTCAACACATGAATCTAGCTAGACAAACTGAAAATGAGGTTGAAATGGAAAAGATTAAGTACCGTAGAGAAAAAGAAGCTGGACTAGCTCAACTAGAAAAGGATAGGGAAGCACGAAAGCAGCGAAAAATCAATCTCGAATTGTTCAAGATACTTGAAGAAAAACCATACTTATCAGAGGAAGATCAAGAAAGAAGGAACAATTTAGTGAAAGTATTATTTCCTTGAAGTTAATAATTTAGTTTTCACTTAATGTCGTAGGGTTAGTTAATGAGTGTTTAAGCTGTAGTTTTAACTTTTTAATGAATGGTTATTGTAATGTATGATCTTTTCATTATTAATTAATGTGTTGTCATTTTATCATTCATGAATAACTACGTTTGAAAGTACTAGATGGCAAAAATCTATGGACACTATACACTTGTGACAAATGTGTTGGAAATAAAGAAAGGAAATTCAAAGGGTCAGATATGGGCGCCCGATTAGGCGCTCGATCGGGCTCCCGACCGGGAGCCCGAACGAGCGAGACCCGCCCGATCGGGCGCCTGATCGGGCGAGCCCCGACCGACCAGGCGCGAGAAGACGTCTGGAAAAAGGGATCGGAGTGTCCGCCCGATCGGGCGAGCTCCGCCCGATCGGGCGCGTGTTTGTCTGTTGGACTCCAACGGTTCCCTTGGATTCCTTTTCTTGTTTGATTTCTTGTAACCCCCCATTTAAGAGGTTGATTATGGTGTTTTAATCACCATAATATTTTTGATTTCTTTTCTTTGTTCACAGAAGATTCCTCCATGATCTTTCATCTTCTTCTATCATTCATCTCTATAAATTGGAGGATGTTTTTCTGATTTTTACATACACAAGAAATACATATCAAACACAAGCTTGCTTAAACACATACTCTATATTGGGCATAAGTTACTTGGCTCCAACCTTCCACCCAAAAGTGCCTTTGTGTGGAAGTGGTGTGTTAACCTTTTGGAACGTGCCGGCGAATACAATAGTGCACCCCGGTTGCGTCGGAATTTTGTTTTCAAGTCAGTGATTTGCATCACGACACACCGTACTCTTTCATTATCTCAAGATCATCTTTTCGATCTTCTTATTTTAGAAATATAGCCTTGAAAATACTTCTTATATTACAAAAATTTGAAAACGAAATTACATATTTTCATTGGCTACTAATTGGTATTGGTTGAAAGATTGGATGATGTCAAGGAAAAAACAATTTTTTGGGAAATGCTGTTCACGTTTTTCTGGGAGCAGTCCCGGAAATGGACCCCGATCGAAGGTCAATCGTTATCGGTTTGAGCTGAAATTTTGGGAGCTTGTTTGGGACATATGAAGCTTCATTTTTAACGGTTGGATCGTTGATAGCTGCTCACGTTTGGGAGTTGTGGCTTCAATGTTAAGCTGCATTCTTGGAGAGGAAATTTGGGCGTACTACGGAGAATGCTCATCTTTGTTAATTGAATTAATTCAAGGGAGGTCATCTCTAAACTAATTTTATTTTGATTATTCTAAGCACGTGATTTTAATTCTAATAATCTTCTTGGAAAATATATGAGTTGTGATTTTTGGCATTATAATATTAGATGATTATTTTGTCCATAATGTAGTATTTGTTACATGATTATTAGTTTATAGGCTAAAGTATAATCCATGTTATATATGTTTGATGTTACATGGCATGATTATTTCTATGTCTTTGTTCTATGCTTATGGTTTGAACTTAGCACTTAGATATACGTTAGTTGGTTTTATTTACCAATTTGTTGATTTTTGAACATATGTGTTGTTTTGTTCATTGAGAAAGTAAATATTAGGTTATTTCTGTAGATTAATTTTCTTTTAGCAAAATGTTGTGTTCCTAATATTTACATGCCTATTTTAATAAATAGTTCATGGTTGTTTAAGACTTGTTAAATTGTAAGTTTTACCATAAATTTTGTGATTATGCGGAGTGTGATGCAATGTCAAAGTCTATTACTTTTGGTACATATGTGTTGATATACATATATATATTCATGTTTCTTGTGGTTTGTTCATGCTCATGATAACGCTCTTTTTGCATACTTCTTCTCAAAAACTTGTATTAATTCTTTCAATTTATTAAGTATGAGAAGTTTTTGAATGAGAATTATGTAATTATTTTGTGAAGTTAAGAGCCATATGTGTATCATTTTCATGGAGAACATGCTTAGTGGTTGTTGTATTTGTGACTCTTAGTGGTGTCATAGTTCTTGTTGAGAATGGATGACTACTTTAATTAATTTTTAATACTCTTGAAATACTTTTGGTGACTATTTTTGATATGTAGTGTGTCAACCTTATGATGAATTTTTGGAAGTATGATAATGTTTGAATTATTATTTAATTCAATGGTTAGGTTATTTTACTTCTTTGTTTATCCACCTTAAGAGAGAGTTTTTAAGAGTGATTAATACTTATTACGTGTTTTGTTCATATTTGTTCTTACTTGGTTCAATTTGGTTGGGTATTGACATTTCTTTAAGGAATATTTATCGATTTCTTTGTGTGTGGGAAGTGATTCTTAAGAATTTTATTTCTTTTGATGCTATGTCTAGTAAATCTCCACATGATGTCAATATGATTCAAGTAAAGAACATGGACCCAAATGTGTCTTAAATAGCTCAAATCACTTAGTGGATGCAAAATCATTACAAGTGGTGGTCATTGGGTTGTTCGTCATTGATCGCTAAGGTAAATTATTAGAGGCACTATGGAGGTATGTTAACATATTCCTTTTCTCCATTATCAACTATGTTTTGATTTTAGACTTAACTTTGGCGTGTGGGGGTTATGATTCTATGAGTGTAGAATTTTGTAGTAGGAATTTAGTCCTTATATACCCCATATGAAAGGAATAGAGTTTACCATTTCTAATTTCAATACTTAAGTTGAAGACTTATATCGTCCAATGTGGGGGAAAAATATATGAGAATAAATGTTGGTCTCAAAGTCTTGGTTTATTTGATATTTTGGATTTGCTTTTTAAGCAAATGATACTATGCTCCATGACTTTGTTTGTGAATGTTGGATTGTCTCCATACACCACAATGTTGGATTATCTCCATGTACTATAATATTTGGCAATCTCCATTCATCACAATTAAATTATCTCCTTTACTTTAATAATTTGTTTTTAGCAATTCTATGCATTATGTCATGTTTGAGTGATTGGCTATGGATATGAAATTCTCATGTCTCTTGATTGCTATATTCCCATATATGCATTTATTTTGTTTATTGAGTAAACAAGTTAACTATAAGAGGAATAAGAGACATCATTATTTATTTGATGCAAAGCATGAAAGTGACTAGTTATGCTAAAGACTATTATTTATTTGTCTTGATTTGGTTTCTCTATGCAATGTGTGAAGAGTGTTTCCTTAACTTAATGAATTGATGACGTGAGTGATTGGTTATTTCTCACTGTCATATGATGTGATTTCTCACTGTCATATGATGTGATTTCTCACTGTCATAAATGAATCGACTCTTCAATAAAAGCAATATAGTAATGACACTGATGATATATAACACTGATCACATAAGCCAATTGCAATTTTTCAGAGTGATGAGATGTAACCCTGATGAAGTGTGTATGCATTTTCTCAGAAAAAGTGTCAACCATTATTGTTCAATTAATTGCTGATCAATTATTATTCTATATATTGGTGTACATATCAACTTCACTACACCAAAGCCTACAAGCCATTTCTTACCTCTTACAGCAAATAATTTTTCTCTTTAAACATGTCCAATGAAAGTACTAACTCTTCTAACTCATCTTCTAATTCTTCCAATTCATCTACCAATCACAACCTCCAAAATTCTTCGGATGATGAATCTGACCATCGTTATGAGAGACGTAGACAAGTGAATCGTTTGGTTGATAGAATGATGGATGAATTCATAATGTCCAACCCAATTGAATTCTTCCAAATGATTCATCAAGTTCCGAGGGCGCCAAGGACCTTGGTCGAAAGGGATCGTGAAGATGGACATAACCGTTTATGGAATGACTACTTTTCTGACCAACCGGTCTACCCTCCAAATTTGTTCCGTCACATATTTCGCATGAGAAATCATGTCTTTCTTCGTATAATGCAAACTTTAGAAGAACGCCATCAGTTCTTTCAACAAAGACCAGATGCTACTGGTAGATTAGGTGCAACAACTTTGCAGAAATGTACTGCCGCTATTAGATTGCTAGCATACTGTGGTGCAGATGATTCTGTTGATGACTACCTACGTATTAGTGCTTCTTTGGCGAGAGACTGTTTACAACATTTTGTTGAAGGAGTTGTCTCTTACTTTAACGATGAATACTTAAGAAGACCCAACGAAGAGGATTTGGTCAGATTGCTACGAGATGGGGAGCGCTGAGGTTTTCCAGGGATGATGGGATCCATTGATTGCATGCACTGGCGATGGAAGAATTATCCTCTTAGATTGAAGGGCATGTTTTCTGGAAGAGATAATAAGCCCACTTTGATTTTGGAAGTAGTGGCCTCACAAGACCTTTGGATTTGACATGCTTTCTTCGGGACCCCAGGAAGGTGTAATGATATAAATGTTCTAGACAGATCTCCATTATTTAATGATGTTTTTGAAGGTCGAGCACCTCCTGTTCAGTATGTTGTTAATGGCCACCAATACAATATGGGGTATCATCTCACCGATGGTATTTACCCTTTGTGGGCAACATTCATTCCCACAATATAATATCTCTCCCCCAAAATGAAAAAGAGGGTCTTTTTGCCAAAAAGCAAGAGAGTAGGCGAAAGGACGTGGAACCTGATTTTGGAGTACTACAAGCTCGTTTTGCAATAGTTCGTTATCCTGCTCTAGCTCGGGATGTTAGTATGTTGGGAAAAATTATGATAGCTTGCATATCATGCATAACATGATCGTTGAAGATGAGCGAGATACGTATTCAACATATTATGATCCAAATGAATATGATCAAGCTGCTCCTTCGTCCTCACGTAGGAGAAACATGGAGGAACCTTTTCAATTCAGCAACAGTCGCGACCGACCAGCAAGTTTAAGGACTTACTGTCTAATAGAGCTCGTGTTCGTGATGAACTTATGCATACGGCCCTCAAGTCAGATTTAGTAGAGCATTTATGAGTAAGTATGGGGGTTATAGGCAGTAATGGATGTATTATCGTTAGTTTAAGATTTTTTTCTTTGATTAAGTATTCTTAGTTTTTATTATAAATAATATTTTGGTTAGACAATGTATTATCGTATATTTTTTTAATATAATAATGTATTTTGTTGTCTTTTATATGTATGTATATTTTTTTAATTTTCATGCTTAGAAAATGTGTTCTTGTATTATTACAATTACGTATTATAATTATTATGTATTAAGGTTCTAATTTAAGTTTTTCTTAATTGCTTATTAATAATTATATCACAAAGTATAATTCTTTTTAAATTAAGAGTACAAATTAAGGTACTTAGGGCCTGTTCTCTTACGTTGAAATTCAGTTCAGTTCAGTTCAGTTCAGCTCGGTTCAGTTCAGTCCAGTTCAATTCAGTTCAGTTCAGTTCAGTCAATGAGAATAGGCCCTTATACTATTTATATTAATAATAATTTTCATCATAGTGAGATTGAAGAGAGAGAATGTATGGTGGGGTATGGTAAAAGTAGGAGAGAGAAAGTTCATGACCAAACTTTCTTGGGCAACCATTGGGGTATAAAATTGTGAATGCTCATAAAATTTGGTCATTGATGAAGTGGAATAGAAAATACTAATAAACAATTTTATGACCAAATTTTTTGGGTCATCCAATGGCCTTGCTCTAACCGCACCACATGGCACCAAATTGTATTTGGCTGCGCGGTTTAGGTTTCATGTGATGCGTTTTGGTTTAGATGCCAAATCGGCCCGTGAACACCCCTACCGTGTACCGCATGCCTAGTCGCACTCTTGCTTTACCAAGTCACCATCAAGTCATCAACGGAGTATCAGATACTATCTACAGTTCTACACTTAGCGCCACCATCTCTCAACCATCATCACCACCATAATATTCTCTCTCTTTCTCTTTCTCTCTCCTCCATTCCTTCTTCTTCTTCCTCAACGATGGATAAAGTATGGCGACCTGCCCTCAAATCCATCTTTCTCTCTCCTCCTAAACCCTCTCCTTCCACCATCATCACCACCTTCTCCTCCTCCTCTCGTCGCACTCTCACCACCCTCTCTTCATTGTCCCTCTTTCTCTCTCCTGCTTCGAATTTCTCACCCTCCAAAACCCTAATTCCCTCAAAACCCTCTTCCTCTTTGCTCCTATTTTCGTGGGATTTTCGCTGTTTTTCCTCTGTTTCACCTTTAGATACGAATAAGTTTGAGTGGAATGGCCCAATTTCGTGTTCTGAGGTTGTTGATGCTGTTTCTTTTGATGATACTGATGAAAATGGTGATGTTGATACTCGCCCTGCTATTCCTGTTCGCGCCTTTTTCTTCTCTACCAGGTTATTTTTCCTCTAATTCAATGTTGGATTTCTTCTTATCTTGTATAATTTGATTTCGTTTCAATGTCAATTGTTCGGGGTATATTGATATATTTCAATTTGCTTTTGATTTTGTAAATTGGTGATATCAGTTGTTAGAATTGCTGCCAGAATGAGTAGAGTGGTTTGTAGATTGTTCTTTCTTTGATTATTCTTTTGATTAATTGTAATTCTCTGAATATGAAACTTAATATTTGATAATTCAATTGGAAATGTGGACATGGCGAGGAAATTGGTTGTAAGAGTTGTTGCCAGTATGAGTAGAGTGGTTTAGATTGTTCTTTCTTAGACTGATCATTCGAATCTTTGTAATTCTTTGACTCTGAAACTCGTACAGTGTTACATGATTGTTAAGTGCATTTCCTTACGTTATTGATGATTCAATTGGTAATGTGGACAAGGCGAGGAAATTGGTTGTAAGAATTGTTGCCAGTATGAGTAGAGTAGGGGCGATTATTTATTTCCTGGAATTTTTACCTCCTCTATAACCAAATGATAGATGATATTCTATTTGGGACCATCTTAATAAAAGACTAATTTGAGTTTGAGATTCTTATTTAGGATGGCTATGGTGTCCCAAGATTAATGTTCAAAAGAATAATATATTGGCATAGTGGAGGTATAAATTTCACATTGTAAATGATACAGTCTATTGAGTAGCTGTGGAAATTACATGAGAATTATCTTTAAAAAACGACTTCCAATCAAATGTGGTTTATTAGCTAGGGACAAAGTCTTTCTGTTTTATTTTATTTTTAATTTTTCTGTTATTGTAGCAACAAAAGCAAAGAAGGTTAGTGAAATATAAGTAAGAGAGTGTTTAGATTAGAAAAAAAAGTAGAAGTGTTAACCTGAAAAAAGAAATGGATATAAACAGAAAGTGCAACAAAAAAAGGTTAGGGAGTTGTTGGTCTAAGTTTTTCTTTTTGATCCTCACAATGTGTCTAAATTGGCACTGGATATTGGCATACTGCTGTTATTAATATTGCTATATTTGGTATTTTCTTGGAATTTGTTGAGGTTTGATATAATCTGATATCAATTTAAACTTGTTTACAACTGTTTGGGCTCATATATAATTTATTTCGTTCATTCTTTTATCTTACTGCCTCATTGTTTATTGGAGTTTTTAAAATAATGCTAGTTGCTTGATCTTTAGTTGAAATTTGGTGCTTTTTTTATTCCTTGCAGTGTGGACTTGAAGAGCTTGGTGGAACTGAACAAGCATAATTTCATCCCGCCTTCGTCGAGGATGACTAACTATGTTGTTTTGAAGTTTGGAAACCTTAAGCCTGAACCAAATGTGAGTTTAATTTTGTTCAAGTGCATTTTGTTTGTTTCATTGTTTCAGTGAGACTAATGTCTGTTTGGGTTCCTACACTCAATTTCTGCTTGCATATTTAAAATGGCAGAAGTTTGGGCCCCTCTAGTGAATTGAGTTCCTCTTTTATAGTGCTTATGGTTTTTAGGAATTATTCATCACCAATCATTTTGGTATGTGATTTATATTTGTATTCTTGATTCTGTGCTTGAATATGGATCTTGCGGGATATTTTGTATGTTTAGAAAATCAACTGGAAGGAGTGAGGGTGTGTTTGGTTAGTAGAGTGGCTTGGGTTTGGAGTCAAGTATGAAGCCTGGTGGTATGAAGTTGGGTTTTAATCTATGATACCATTTGTTTGTTATTGTTCTAGAATAAACATTAAACCCTTGATTTATTACCTAGATGTATGTAATGGTTCAATGCCACCACCCCTAATAGTTTCTAAACCCCATAAAGACCTTATGTTATGGGTTTGGGGAATTGGTTTAAAGCTATTTTATAAAAACACATGGTATGGGTTTTACCCACTTAAATCCCATACCTCAGGCAGTCAGGCTAGATATCAGAGAACTAAACACCGAAGGACTTGAGCACACGACACTATCCACATGTTATTTGTATGTGTGAATGACATGGTTCCACCTTTGCTTGAGATTATAATGCTGCATTGCTGATGTTACCTGCTGGGTTGATATGATGCTATAAACTTATTTCTGCAGTGGGGTTGAGAGTAACATTTCAGTGAAGTATTTTCTGTTTCTGGGCATTCTAAACTTTTGGACATGTAATTTTTTTCCCATTCACACCCTGTGCTTCTTTATACTCAGGTATGTTTCTGATGAGCATATATTGGCTCAAGAAATTGTTTTGGCAATGGAAATTAATTTCTTGTGGGTGAGTGTAATATAAAGTAGGAGAGAGAGTTAAAATTCGTACTTGTTTTGGTGTAAGAGGGGTATGATGGTAGAGATCATATGCCAAAATGGAATAAAGTAAAAGTGAGTTGAAAAAAAAAAGAAAAACAACCATAAATGGAAAGTGAGTAGAACAAAAAATAAAATGGAGGTAGTGTTTGTTTAGGGTGATAATAATCTAGCTTAACAGATGGAAGCGGTCCCAGATCTTGTCTCTGGGTGTTTTAGACTAATCCAACAACAATTTCGCAATAACATATTCGCCCATATATATATGGTCAAAGTATTTGAGTAGTGTAGAAATCAACTTGTTGCATCTTTAAGGAATTTATCCAAGTAATTAAGGTACTTGAAAGTCTTGTGCATCCTATGCCATGACAACTTGAGCTATTTAGGAATTTGTGATAGCTATTTACCACTCTAGAGATATGTTATAATGTTCTAGCTCAATTCATTTGAAATGTCATGTCTACTTGCCTAACCTAGTAAACTTTTACGGAACTTAATTCCTTGTTATAATGATCTGATTCTTCGTATAGGATTAAGGGGCCTAAGAAATAATTGATGGACCATAGTGGGTCTTGAATGCGTGCTTCTTATATAACCTGCCATAAAGCTCTTTTTTTTTTGCAAAGTTTCCCTTGGAGACCCCTTTAGGATTTTTCTATATTAAATACTATTCGTATTAAATTAAGTGCCGGCATTTATTGAGCTATTTCAATTGAGTCATTATCATCATTTCAAAAACAGTGAATTATTTACTTTTGTTATTAAAACTCTTGAAGCAGGTAAAATGGTAGAAGTAATTATGTCATAAACAAGCACCTTTCTTGGTCTTTTAGAAGTACACACTCACAGAGAGGAGCCATTAATTTTCTTAATTTTTCTTTCTGTACGGGTAACTGTGCCATCCGTGCTCAACTGGTGAATAATTACCTGTGGCTAGTGATATGAATGTCTTTATTTTGATTTGTTAACCAACTGTTCATACTTCATATTCTAGTTATGATGTTGTGAGGTAAAACAAATTAATCATATTCTCTGTATTCTAGGGTGTGGGTGCTACCTTAAGTGGAAGTGATTGTGGCTACATGGTGGTTTTCCAGTATGGCTCAATTGTCTTGTTCAATGTTCGTGATCACGAAGTTGACGGCTACTTGAAAATTGTGGAAAGACATGCCTCTGGCTTGCTTCCTGAAATGAGAAAGGATGGTTAATATTGCTAACTTAATTTTGATCTTTTGAGTATTTGGCCTGTATCTTGTTATAGTTTTGCACTTTTATTTTTATCCACTGTTGATAGCACAGTTTTTGCCCTAGTATGCATATGTTCAGAACCCTTTGATGCATTACTTTGACCTCCATTTTTTAATATGTATATGTGTGTGTGTGTTAAACTTCTTGATGATTAGTTAAACCTTCTAGTTTTCTGAAGGTAAATACCATAGGGCTGTTTTAGAGGGATATTTTGTTCTCTAAACAATCAACGATCCCAACTCCTAAGTAATATTGGTTTAAATTTTTTTAAAGCATGTATCTGAACTTATCATTGACCCTTAATTGAACTTATTTAAAAATTATATGACTTGGGTAGCCCCTATTGGCCATTAATCTATAGTAATATATAAAGTGAAAGGGGGTTTTGGGTGATAAATTTCACTTTCCCAAAATACCCCTTTCATCTTTTATAATTTTCAAAAGAAAACTACCATAATTTAAAAAATATAACTACCATTTAAAAAAAAAAAAAAAAAAACAAAAAAACTACCACCCTTTAATTTTTTATTTTTTTTTTATTTTTTTTGAGGGAAATCATATTTTCCATGAACATTATAATGTACTCATATCTTATCTTTTAACCTCTATGATTTTATCAATTTATAAACCCACTAATATATATATATATATATATATATATATATATATATATATTTTATTATTAGAATAAGGTAGATAATATTTTAGGAAAAAAAAAAAAGAATCAAGCCATGTATATTAATTTCTTATATTGCACACGCAATTTGTGTGTGTCTCACAGCTTGTGTGACTAATTTGAACTTATATTTCCTAACATAAGAGAAATTATGGCAAGTCTCTCTCTCTCTCCTTTAATCATATATCATTGTTTTAGTGGTAATTGGGACAAAACCTTAGAGCTTTTTTATTAGAGAGATAAATCCTATCGTAGCCTCTATCTAGGTTACGGTGGTGTGGGGAGTAATATTGGCTTGCTGACTCCTTTTCCTTTTACTATCTAGAATATGAAGTAAGAGAGAAGCCAACTCTAAGTACATGGATGCAAGCTGGTCTTGATCGCATAATGCTGCAGTACTTGAATATTGATGGTATTCGTACCATAGGTAGTGTGCTTGGTCAAAGTATTGCGCTTGATTACTATGTTCGTCAGGTTTGTGTCATCCTTGATTATCATATTTAATTCTGAAAGTATTTGATTCATCTGGCCTGTTCTTAAATCCTTATACTCCTGCTAGGTTGATGGAATGGTTGCAGAGTTCACTGACATAAACCGTGCAATGGAAAAAACTGGGACTTTTACTATGGAAAGAAAGAAGCTCTTTCAGTTAGTTGGGAAAGCAAATTCTAATCTGGCAGATGTGATTCTTAAACTTGGTCTTTTTGAAAGGTGATATTCATGTGTTAAGCCACAACCAATGTTTTCATATTCCGTGTGTGATTATTTTCTTTCTGACTTGACTGTTGATTCATTTGATGGAATGTATGCTGATAGAATGAGCTGCCAAATGGAACATTTGGTAGTTATGACTTGTGAGTGTGGTGAATTGTAGCTGGTAGCTTGTGTGATTTCTCTGGAATTGTGCAACAAATCAATACTATTTTCTGATCACTTGTATATGCATATAGATGATGCTTTGAATTGAATTTTTTAGCTTCATAATGTTGAGAGCAATTAGAATATTATAATGGTAAGTATGTGGACGCGGTCTTGATATAGTAATAGAGGGCTTCAAGAATGTTTGTAGGAGAATCTACATAGTATTGGCGTATTGCATGTCTCTTTTCAACTCATAATTGAACGTGATTTATGCTGGTCCAATGGCTGCTGGTTTGGTTTTGATTTCTAGGATGCATTTTAAATGTATTTTTTGTTAGATGAAAGTCATATTTAATTATTATGTGGTACGAAGTATATTAAATGGAACAGAAGTTGTAGAATAAGTCTGGACCAGAAGTTATAGAGGGACTTCTGATGTTAATTGAAAAATGTCTATAAAATTAGTTTTGTTTATAAATTTGCAAATGAAATGATGAAAGCATTTGGATAACTTAAAAACAGATAGCAGTTATTATTGGCTCTGGGCTGAAGTGAGGCTTCTTTGATGGGAGTAATTCCTTGCACACCGCTTAAGCTTGAGCTTGACCTCTATTTTTCTAGTTTTTCTGAATTCTACTTGTGGAATTTGTATAATATCTGAATGGCTGATTGTGCTGCTATTCCCTTAAATGACAGTCAAGTGTGTATGCCAAATCCTTGTTGAATTTTATTGTTTCAATTTCTATTAAGTAAATAAACAGAACTGTTTAAGCTCCTTCAGTGGAAGGAAGGAGCACAAGTGGCTATTGTTCTATTTGTGAACAATAGGTTTCAAACTATTTGACTTTTTTTTAATTTTTTTTAATGGTTTTTTTTTATCTAATCCTGAACACTATGTTTCCAAACTATTTGTCTCTATTGAAGCACTGCCCTCTCCCACTCCCCTTTCTTCCCGTCCATCTACCTACCTAGAATTGTATTTGTAGATAAGAAGAGAGTAAACCTCCATAAGGAGAGACTTAGATCTGGAGAGAGTATGAAAATGGTAATAGCAGGGGTTTCCATCTTGATTATTGATGCCAAACTGTTGTACACCGAACAATTACAGTACAGAATCTGGATTTATTCTGAATTGAGTTGCATATAAACGATGAAAAGAAGAGAGGAGCAGATTATATGATAGGCATATAGCTCATCAGGATGTTGCTTTTTTTATTCAAGTCTCTCCCTTCACCCTTATACCTATAAGTGTCTAGATTTTGCACTCACTGGTTCATATGTTCTGTCTTCTGAGAAATTAAGCTCTTACAAATATTTTTTAGATGCAATTGACCATCCCGGTTGCTTGTTCATGTCTTCATGATTGTCATTCCTAATGGTTGGTAGATGTATCTGTACAAAGTGGTTTTAGAACTGAAACTCCAACCTTCTGTGTATTTGAAGCATGGTATCTGCTATAAGTACCAAATACTCTATTGGGATGTTTTTAACTATTGAGACAGCTGTCTTGTGCAAAACATTGAGATTCAAAGTCACTTGAAACTTACATGCTATCCAAGCTGTTCCTCAAAACAATACATGTTCAGTTTTGTAATGTGGTTTTCTGTTAATGGTTTAGCAATTGATGGCCTTTTGCATGAATGGAAATACTTTTAGATTTTAGCCTCTGTTTATATGTAGTGTTTATTGATACAATTTGGGACTGAATAGCAACCTGCTGAAAGAGAATTTGTTCCTCATATATTCAGCTCTGTATTTCTGTCTTTTGTTTACTTCTTTGTTCCTGTGTTTTAAAGTAAGATTGTCTTCTTGCCTTGCAGATCGGATATTGCTTGGAAAGATGCCAAATATGCCCAAATTTGGGAATATCTCCGAGATGAATTCGAGTTGACACAGAGATTTGCCAGTCTTGACTTCAAATTGAAGTTTGTGGAGGTATGATATTTCCCTTCTGTATCTCCAAATCCATATGTTGATTGTCTTGGTGGCAATTTATGACTACTGTTGCTACTCCGTGTTATTTACTAATTACGTCATATTTGTTTTTTTTTTTTAACAGCATAATATTAGATTCCTACAAGAAATTTTGCAGAACAGGAAGTCAGATTTCCTTGAATGGCTCATCATCATATTGATTGGTGCTGAAATTCTCATATCTGTATATGACATTGCTCATAAGTCACTTTAGCCCTTGCTCGACATCCATACACTAGGGTGGTGGCACAGGCTTTCTTTTATAGACGGTTAGTGCCATAAAATTTTTGCTCTCAACTGTACATCTGCTGCTAGGTTGTTAATCAGACAACGATTTTCCTATAGCTGTTTGTAAATTGATAAGAGATGTTTTACTTCTGTAAATCCTACAATTCAGTGAATTCACTGTCATAGTCTGCTAGGTCATAAAAATTTTGGCTTATTTTCCATCTTCCACTGCTAGGTTGGGATAATCATAAAGGAAATTTGATTTTCGAGGTTATATTCAATACAGTATATTCTTTATATCTAGTATAATTTCTACATGGTGTGTTCCATAGCTGTGAAGTATTCCGTAATTATTTGTTTTTACATTTATTTAGTTTGACAGTTTGATCCACTTACAAGTTCAACTCAAAGGTTCTATGGTAAAATTAATTGGTCATAGTTGGAGTAATTACCCTAATGTTTAGCCTAGTCTTTTCTTCTTTCTTTCTTGAACGTGGGACAACTCTCATGTGAATAACTGATGGATTTTAACAGAGGTTTCACCTTACTACGTATTTTAACAGAGGTTAACTGTTTAGGAACTTTCTTACTACGTATTTTCCACTCAATTCTAAAGGGCTTAGCTTAAAAACTAAATTAAATCAACACGAAAGAGCTTTCGGTACAAAATACAAAAGGATTTTCTCCTTACAATCACCACATTAAGAAAAAAAACATTAAAATATGGCATGTTAGCCCTCTGAAGAAAATGACACTCTTTGGAAGGATTTAAAATCATACTTCCTCTGTTCTTTTTTACTTGACCTGTTTCTTTTATCACGCTTGCCAATGCAAAACTTTCACGATCAATAACTTAAATTCTTCATAATTAAAAATTATAAAAGTTATATATTATGATAGTACTTATTGAGACGAATTCAAAAAGATCATACATGAAAATATTTTTTATTACATATTATTCACAAAAGACGGTCAAAGAAGGGGTGGTGAATAGTGTAAAAGTCAAAGCGGGTCAAGTAATAAAGAACGGAGGAAATATAACATAATTTGGTTTTTATAACAATATAGACAAGCAACTCATAATTCAGTCTGTAAAATCTAGGTGGAAAACCATTAACATGAATAAGCAACGTCCACACTCTACGGACTAGGTAGCCATATACGGATATACCTTTTGCAAATCCATACTAGAATTGTTTATCCTAGTTTAGCCATTAATTAGCTTTTGCACAATTTGATATTATTATAAAGTACGTTAATTATGTCCAAAATATCGAAAGGATATCATATTTCTTAAAATAATGGTGTGATATATAGCTTTTAGGGAAGGCTCTATCTAGGATCTACCACAGGCTCCCTCGTGTGAAAGCGTGTGTTGGTAGAGTATAAAAATCAATTTTTTACTTTAAACATCAGTTAAATTTTTGATTTGGTTGATTATTTGTCCTGGTATTAAGAGCTAATGTCATTTACAAGTTTAAATCTCATCCATCCCTTTTTTGTTAAAGTGAAATATTTAGCGTTGGATACGAAGAAGTGTGATTATGTACAAATACAATTCTATGCTTCAATTATCTACTAAATTAAACCTTTTGGTTGAACTAGTTCTTTGACATGTACCATGGCGTATTCCTAGGAGTGGATGAACCCGTATTACTACCCTTCAATCATCTTTTAGACGCACTCAATTGAGTGATTGTAGAATGTAAAGTTAGTATCTTCTGCTTAATTAGCTGTTAGTCGTTAAAAATTATATAGCAGACTGTAACATAATCATCTTAGATTCTATCCTCTCTTAAATTACACCCTAATTATATTAAATATTGCCTTGATTACCTTATGCTATGGATCTTGATTTTATTCTATGACTAAGCTTTTCTATAGAGAGACACAAATACTTTCTAAAAAATACAATCACATATTCTCCTTGGCTTTGGGATACTTTTATCACACCACGACAATAATATTGTTCTAAATTCCATACCAATTAGCTAGTCTTATTTCATACACCAAAACAATAACTTGATAAACTAATAAGAGTAATGCTATATGTAACCTTTAGGACTAAGAGTAAAATTTAATTCTTCTCTAATTTATATGTGGCCGCTCTAATTTAATACGAAGTATTAATTTAGAAATGCATGACAAATATCACATTTTTTTTTTTTTTTTTTGAACGGGAAGTATAATAACATTAAATAAAAGCCATACAACATCTATAATAATAAGGATCTGTAAACCACAGCTTTAGAGAAAATATCATAACTTTTACAATCAAAATCATAACTAATAATTTGCATATTTGGCATAGCTCATACTCCACCGCTTCAAGCTTGACGCGAGCAATGATTTTCGATGTCTTTGCATCTTTCCAAGTTGAGACCTCCGCAATCTGCGCTGATGTTTTGATCGACTGGTTGATGACAAATCCCAGACCCATCGGAATCCAAATCACCTTCCCAATTATTATAAGAACCCTAAAAATAAAATTCTCATTCATAGATGAGAATCAAAATCTCAGAAAATTGGAAAAAACCCAGAAAATTGGGACAGACTCTCACAGATGGAGAGAACAAAACAAAACAAATAAAACCAAAACGTAAAACAAAACAAAAAAAAATCGAATTAAAGAAAAAGGGTCGGAAATAGTCTAATTTCCGAATAAATTAGACTATTTCCGGCCTAAACGGCTAAGAAAATTAAAACCCTAGAAGAGAGAGGAGAGAGAAGAGAGAAAAAGGGGCGACACACTAGGATATTTGCACAAAAATCACATGTAAATAAGTGTAATTAATGTTATATTTCCGTTTGTTTGTTTTTTTTTTTCTATTTTTTGCTCTTTATATATAACTCTAAGAATTATGTACGGAATATATCATTTAAATACTACCTCCGTTTCATTTTTTTTTTTTTGCAATTTTAAAATATTTTATGTCTTACAAATAATATGTAAAAGTTGTTAAAAATATAAAACGGAGATAGGATATAAAAAAATTATGGCGCCACCACAAATGCGCACACAAAGAAAATGAATTTGTTTTTGTGTAATGGAAGATGAGGATAGAGATCTAGCTTTAGACTTGGACCTATTTAGGTCTTCTCTAGTTAATCCTAATCCACACTTTATGGGTCAACTGTTGTTGGACAGCTCAAACAAATTTGTCAAATATTTTCATTTGATAGAGAATCTCTATGATTTCATCAAGTAGCAATTGTTTCCTATTTTAAAATTTGCTTAACCTAATTAATATTAGCCTGCACAATTTGTTTAAGATAATAATTAATCTTCACAATCTTCCTTGTATAGTTGTATACTTTGTCTCTTTTATGGAGGCATGTAGCACATCCTCTTTCATTTTATTAATCAATCTTAGGTTTCAAATATCGACAATTCTAGGAGTCAACTATACCATTTCATATCCATATAGTTTACTCAGATCTAATTACATAGTATATTTTATGGATGATTAGTTAATTTAGTTGGAGTATTATAGGAAACTAATATTCGTGACTCGTAAATTATGATCAAATTCCGGCCCGTACATATCATTACGATTGTAGTTATTTATCAATATCATTGCACTTGTAACATCTCATCTTTAAAAATAATCCGTGCACAAAAAATTGCTATTGCTTGCAACACAATATATTAAGGGGCCGTTTGGTTGGGGGTATTCATCAAAAGGAAAGGGAATCAACCACCCTGATTCCCTTTGTTGCTGTTTGTTAGCCCTTTTTTTTCATTCCCTTTCCCCCATCCATTCCCCCAAGTCCTTCTAAGCCCATTCCCCACCCCCCTAGGTATTTTCATTCCCATTCCCTACCACCACCACACCACCACATCACCACCTTCATACCTACCCAACCACCGGAAAACCCAACCACCATCCCACCTGACGCTCGCCGCCCCTCCCCGACCCTCGCCGCCCCTCGCCGACTCTCCCCTGCACCGGAATCGAATCTGTTCGCTGCCCCTTTTCGCACCGGAATCGCACGTCGCTACCCCTTTTCGCACCTCCCTCAACCCTTTTCGCACCTCCCCCAACCCTCGTCGGAGGTTGTCGCATCTCAAACGGCGAGGGAGAATAGTTTCTAGGGTTTATTCGGGGCTGATGGTGGTTTTTCGGGGTTGAGGGAGGGTTTGCGAGGGGCGGGGAGAGCTGTGCGAGGGGCGGGGATGACCGGCGAAGGGAGGCGAAGGGGGAGGGAGGTGCGACGAGTGGTTTGGTGGCTGGAAACGCTGGAGAATGAAGGTTTGAGGTGGATGTGTGGTGGTGGTGTGGTGGTGGGACTGGTGGCCCTCATTCCCTTTGTTTTTAAGACCAAACAACATAGAAAATTTTAGGTATTTTCATTCCATTCCTTGTCTTTCCCTTTGTTCATTCCATTCCGATTACCCCTTGTGAACCAAACGGCCCCTAATTAGTATTAGACCAGTAATTAATAACTAAATAACTTGGGCCAGCTTAATTATTCCATCAAATTCAACTTAAAATAAGGAAGATGAAGGCCAATAATCATCATACTTGCTTAAATATTCAAATGGTTTGCGACTAAAAGCATATAATTGTACGGATCCATGTTAATTAACTGATAACACAAATAATTTTAAGGTATATGATAGTAATTTATGCAACTAAGTACATATAGTGGCCACATGGCACTCATTCATATGTTTGGTCTAATATTCCAAAATACCGTGTTGAAATTTCTAACAATATTATTATTATTACTAGGTAAATTAAATATACTCTTATAATATAAAAATAAAAAAGGATTTTTAAAGTTAAATAATTTAAAGTAGTGGAATTATTTTATTTTATTATTATGATTTTCTTTATATAAAGTAGTGGGTGATTATGCTAGTTAACATTATCATTCAAACGTTTAAAAAAAGAAAACATAGTATTCCAAATTAAATTCTTAGGTTTGAACATGGAACACTCTTATCCTCAAAATGAGAAAGCTGAAGACGAAGCATCTCTTCAAGATGTACAAATATGCGTCAACGACAACAAAGGAGGATGGGTCACCTTTCCTTTCATAATAGGTCCTTTCTCTTTATTTTCTCTTCTCTTCTTTAACGCAAATTATTACATGCACGACCTAGACACTGTACGTACCTTGATAAAATGGTAATTGTTGGTATGACATATCTGTTTCGCACAAATAAAGTCAATATATATGTATTCTCAAAGTCTCACATAGTCACATACTCCTAGGATTACTATTTTTGGTATTTTTAAAACGTGTAAACTTTGTTTCTTTATATGTAAATATCTCACTATACGTTACATATGATATTGATTGTATAAATTTCAGTTTATCTGAATCTTCCATCATTTGATGGACACTCATCTCCATCTTAATCATGCTGAAAGTATAGTGAGTCTAATAGTTTGTCGTACAATGACTTATGCAACTAATAATCGAAACTCTAATTAGCTAGTTTGAAGAGCAATAACCTCATATTTTTTTTTTAAAAAAAGCACATGTATGTAAGTTAGCTACAAATTAAAGAAGCATAAAATAAAAATAAAACCTATTATAGTGGTATCTAATACCATATATCCAAATTCCATCTTTATTTCTAAACTCTAACATATATATATGTATTAATCTACGTGTCATGTTATTCTGTTTATTTAGAAGCATTTCCTCGATCTTTAATTTATATTGTGTATAAGTGGGGTGTCCATATATCTTATAACTTTCATGACCTATGAATAATTTTATAACCTCGTAATTTCCTCCCATTTTACTTTGCGTATGATGAGCATAATGGAATGTGAAAGGGTGTAAATTTACACATGGATGTTGGTATATATTATATTTGAAAATTATGAGATTAAGATATGTATTTTGCTCAATTAGCAATTATATCACTCACTATATAATACAATGCAATATAAAGTAAAACTCTTTCAATATACAGAAATTTATATTATTTTGGTGATGATGTTCTATATATATTCAATAAAGGAACAAGAACTGTAATGGTGCTTTAACTAAAATTTATAAGCAATATCTAAATATAATCGGCAATGATGACTATTTAACCAAGCCAAAAAAAAAAAAAGTTAGAAATACAAAATTACTAAATAAATTCAATACATGAATGTGGTGAGGTCTAAAACTTTCAAGAACCCTAGTGGGACATGTTCTCATAATCTCATGTAATATACTACATCCGGTTCTTATTACTTGCAACAAATAAATATTTTAGGTCTCATAAATAATAATCATTTGTTGCGAGTAATATAAACCAGAGGTAGTATATGAAAAATCTTCTATTCGTTCTTGGTTTTATGTTTGGTGTTGCTCTTTAACTAGCTAATCTCATAAGGTGGGGTAACATAGTAATTATATGATAATTATTTATATGCTTCCACTTTTCATTCTTTTCATCAACAAATTAGGGTTGTTGCTTTTCTTCCATTTTATTATTGGTAGAGTACATACACTCAACTAAAGGAGAAAAAATGTGCACCAATTGAAATTATTGATTGAAAAGATATATTGTTCAAAACACGTTGTTATTTAAATTAATGAATCAAACATACATCTATACTTATCAATATTAATAATACTCTTTATGTTCTGTACATTAAAGCCGGAGGTGATATATACTAACAGTAGAATCGATCTAGATACCATAAACATACATATTGATTGTATGTTAGTATGTTACAATTTGCTTCTAAACATTACTATTGATACACTTCTGTAAGTTGTTTTTGTACATTGTTGCCATTTCAATAGGCTTGAGGATCTGCACTACTTACAACATGTTGTAGCTAATTGTACAATCAAATATAATTTCTTTCCTGTCTGCTGACAAGGAACAAGCACATGGAAAAACAAATCACCTTAGATGTACAATAGACTTTATGCAACGAGTTGTACATAAAAAATTTGATAGGCTTCATTTCCACCTTTATTGCTCTCTTTAATCTTTTTGCAATCTTTTTACTTTATTTTTATGTGTTCTATTGTAACCGTTACCTAAAAAAAAAGGAAAAAGGAAACTCTCTCTTCCATGGGTCCGATCCATTTATACTACTATACTTGATTCAACTCATTTATCTAAACAATTTTATCTTTTTGATTTCACATCCAAGCCACAAGGGATGCAGCTAGAGGCCTGACACCCGCGGCCCAACTCCCAGTCCTTTTGTTTTCTGAAAAAGGCCCCAGAATTATATCACAGTAATAATTGTAAAACTTGTAGGCAATTAGAGGTGTCAATTCTGGTGTTGGGATTTAGTCTAATTTTAAATTTGAGTTATGCTAAATTATTATGTCCCTGTGAATCGGAATCTGAACCAGATAATTTTCCAAGATCAGATTGGTTAGGCCATGTTCTGACACTTCTGATTTACAATTGGTAACGTTTACGTATGCTATATAGCATGTATGTCGTAGCTTTGTTAGGCGCTAACATACATGTATATTGTACACTAGTATGTACATTTTTCTCAAAGCTAATAAACAAATTACGTGCATTTATGTTGCAGGAAGTATGATGGGATTAACACTAGCAGCAACATCTTGGTATGCAAACATAGTAGTTTATGCAATGAAGAAGTACAATATCAAGGACATTGCTGCTGCTCAATTCCACAATGTTGTTGGTGGTGGTGTCAATTTCTTCCCTATATTAGCTGCTATTCTCGCCGATTCTCTCTTTGGTTCCTACTCCGTCGTTCTTGTCTCATCTTTCATTTCATTACTGGTAAATTAAGCTAAATAACGTTGATCCTCACTCTAAATTTTGTTTATGATTTTAACATAAATTAAACTAGTTATTGACCTGGACGATGTATTGTCTTTGAATTCAATACAAGATTGTAATAAAGTTAGTTTAATTGATATTATAATAATTAAATTGGTACAATGTTATGTTATGTAGGGTGCAATAATGTTCACCCTTTCATCTGCAATACCATCTTTAAGGCCTCCACCATGCACAAACATAACCTCATGCAACCCTCCATCAAGCCTCCAATACGCCTTCCTCTACGCCACCTTAGCGATTTCGATGATTGGATTCGGGGGTACTCGTTTCGTGATAGGAGCATTGGGAGCAGACCAATTCAAAAAACCCGAACAACAACGAGTTTTCTTTAATTGGTTCATCTTCGCCATTGAGGCTAGCTCCGTTATAGGCTTCACCGCCGTAATTTACCTTCAAGACAAGGGTAAATGGACCTTAAGTTTTGGCATAAGTGGTGCTGTTAATGCAATTGCCATTGCCCTTTTCTTGTTTGGATCGCGGTTTTATAGGCTGGTTTTGCCTCAGGGGAGTCCTTTTATTAGCATTGCTCGTGTTCTTGTTACCTCATTTCGAAAGAGTGTTAGAGTGACCGGAGAAAAAGATGAAGATGATTACTTCAATGGCTCCTCAAAATCAAAGATGAATATTGGATCTCCTACTTCTAGCCTAAGGTAATTGAGTTGCTTCTTAATTTTAACATTTCATTTAGATTCTAGAGTTATATATGATGAGTGAAAGAAGTTAAACCTATGTAAAACTAACATCAATATCTCTCAAAGTTATTCATGTTCGGATTATAACCATCTCTCAAAAAAAGTCAAAACTGGAAAAACTTTAAGAGACAGAAAATACTATATTGTCTTTAAATTACTGCAAAAGATGAAATTATAATATCCTTCTTAGTGCAAAGCTTGTTTATGCATATAATGTTAATGTTGATTTGTAGCTTCTTCAATCGAGCTGCCTTGATAAAAGGAGGAGATCATCAACCACATTCGAAACCCTTCACAAAATCGTGGAATTTGTGTACCGTTGAAGAAGTAGAGGACCTAAAGAAATTGATCAAAGCACTACCAATTTGGTCAGGAGGGATATTACTCAACACAGTATCCGGAGTTGCTGCAAGCCTAGTTATTCTTCAAGCATTGTCCATGGACCGAAGACTAGGCCACCATTTCAAACTACCGGCTGCAAGCATTCTAGTCTTCCCTCTACTATGTGGATCCATCGCGCTATGCCTTCTTGATCGAGTACTATACCCCTTATGGAAAAACATTGTTGGTCGACCATTAGACCCTCTTAAGCGCGTTGGAGTTGGCTACTTTCTCACTTTCCTTAGCATGATCTCGTTTGCTCTCATTGAGAAAAAACGACTTAATCTAATGGCTTCCAATAACCATGTTATTTCAGTGTTATGGTTAATTTTGCCTTTGGGTTTGTTGGGTGTATCGAGTTCTTTTTACTTCCCGGCAGAGTTGGCATTCTTCTATCAAGAACTACCAAAATCGCTAAGGAGTACAGCCGCTTCCTGTGCTTCGTTGCATATGGCTGTCGGATACTATCTAAGTACCGCCTTTATAAGCTTGGTTCAACGAACTACTTCATGGTTACCGGATAATATTAATCACGGAAGAATGGATAAAGTGTATTGGACATTAGCTATTGTTGGAACCATCAACTTTGGTTATTATCTTGCATGTGCTAAATTATACAAGTACACTAATAATGATGAATCTACTGATGAATAGGAAATGCATGGAACCAAAAATGTAGGGTACATAGTTTTCTTCTAAATGTGTGATATGCATGTATGTTGGTCTATGCATGCTAGCTTAATTTGGATGTCAAAATACTTGTGTGTAAGTTTCTTTCTTTCTTATTTTTTTTTTTTTTTTTTTTAAGGAAGTGTGTGTGTTTCATTTTAATTAAGCAAATATTTAAATTTCCTTTATTTCTTGGCTCATGGTTGATTGTAATTGTAATTGATTTCATTATTGATGTAATTTTGGTGATGGTTGATCTCCCTATAGGCAAGCGTACTAAATAATTTTTTGAGGGGAGTTGGTGGGGGTGTGTAAGAACTATGTCACAAATCGTGGTGCAACGTTTCAAATAATATATAAGAACCCATTATTATACAAGAACTAATGTTAAAACTTTATTAGTTTTTCTCCTAAACTTTAGCCTCCATTGTCAATTTTGAAGGGGCTTCCATCGGATTTCACCGGTGGAAAGCCCCAAATTTTATTTTCTTTCAAGTTTTTTAATTTGTTCTAGGTTACAATAATGTCTCCCTCGAAAGAAAGGGTTTATCTCCTTCGAAAAACAAGGTTTTTTCGATCTCCTTCGAAAGACAAGATTTTTCGGACTCCTTCGAAAGACAAGGTTTTATTTGTGTTTAATTTGGTCTCTGGTTGTGCGGGGCTACTATTGATTATAGCTCGGATTCGGGTTACGGAATCAACACAAGAATTTTCTTTCTCACAAAATTGCGAAGCGGCGACGGATCCACTCAAAAAGTTGTATGAGACAACGAACCGAGAATGTGCCAAATTGTTATATTTATGTATTTGGATTCTTAGTCCTTCCCCGATTAATTCTTGTTTGATTTTGCTAAATTCGTTTTCATTATCGTTAATTGTCAATTGTAGATGCCGTATGGCTATTATTAATGAAATTTAATGTCCTTTAGGACTTCTTTCAAAAAAAAAAAAAAACTTTATTAGTTTTGATCTAATCATAAAAAATGGTCCTATAGTAACGACATTTCTATAATTTTGAGGAGTTCATATTTAGAACATAGAAAAAAATTTAGAACCTAACAAAAATTTAGAACATAGGAAAAATTTAGAACATAAGCAGAAAAAATTTATAACATAGAAAAAAAAGTAGAAGATAGCAAAAATTTAGAACATAAATAGACATCTAGGGTTATGTTCCCTACTAATACATACAATATACTCTCAATTATATCCCATCAATAGAGAGAAAACCTAGAGTTAAATAAAGACATTTCTTAAATAGTGTGAACCAGATCTATTTAAGAAATATCGTTACTATAGGTTCATTATTGACATTTCTATAATTTTGAGGAGTTTATATTTAGAACATAGATAAAAATTTAGAACATAACAAAAATTTAGAACATAGGAAAAATTTAGAACATAAGCCAAAGGAATTTAGAACATAGAAAAAAAATGTAGAAGATAGCAAAAATTTAGAACATAAGCATAGGAGATGTCGAGCCGAGTAAAAGTAAGATATTGCAATGCATCGGCCAGACTACGATACTTAGTGGGATCCTCATATGGGGAGTCATCAGAGGCACTAAGCTTCGGTTTAGTGTCAACAGGCGTATGGCATGGGCTACAGTTAGACATCCCGACCCTATCAATGATCTCTATAGCATATTGTTTCTGGGATAAAAACATACCAGTAGCACTGTGAGTGACTGCAATCCCTAGAAAGAAACTCAGAGACCTAGATCCTTCATAGAAATTTCATTGCCCAAAAGAGTCATAAAATGCTTTGAGATGATCAAAAGATGATGTCTGAATAATATATATCAACAAATAACAGAATATAAGCCATCTCTGAACCCTGTATGTAGATGAACAAAGAAGTATCAGATTTACTGTTAGAAAATCCAATTGTGGTGACAAAATCTGCAAAACGCCGATACCAGGCCCGTGGAATATGTTTGAGACCATAAAGAGATTTTTTGAGTAAGCAAACATGATCAGGATGACTCTTGTCACAAAACCCCATGGGTTGGTGCATATAGACTGTTTCACTGAGATATCCATGCAAGAAATCATTATTGATATTTAATTGATGAATATGCCATGATTTTGAAAGAGCAATGCTTAGGACAATGCGAATGGTTGCCGGTTTTACAACCGGACTAAAAGTATCATCACAATCAATACCTTGCCTTTGATTTTACCCATCACCTACAAGCTTTGCTTTATGCCTCTCAAATGAACCATCAGATTTTTTTTGTAAGATGAAAAATCCATATTGACCTGATAATATTAACATCCGGCGGCCTTAGAACAAATTCCCATGTATCATTATCAAAAAGAGCATTATATTCATCTAACATTGCAATTTTCCAATTTGGGTCACGAATAGCACTAACAGGGTCCTTGGGTATTGTAGACACCCATTTGTGTCTCCACAAAACAAAACCCAATGATTAATACCTTTCGCGTCGAATCATAACCGAATGAAGTGAAAGTGTGGAAAGTCTAATGTTGCGATTAGTTTTTATTAAAATTCTCTCTTTCTGTTTTCGAAAACCTACTCTATTTTATGAAAATATCCAATTCAATTTAGTTTGGTCCATAGAAAGGGTCCAATAATAGTGTAGTTCAATTAGGCTCGAAAAGAGCTTTCCAACGATATATTGTAAGCCCAATTCCGATGAATATTGAGGAAGTTATGGCCAAATTACGAAACTGGGCCCGGTTTGGTTCTTATATGCGGCCCAATGATCTAGAGGAGGGCCTATTATGAATTATCATTTCTAATGCAATTAGGATTGATTATAGTCTTCTAGAATCTTCTAAAAGGTTCTTTTGAATCCTAATGGGATTAGGATTGATAATTATGTTTTACGAGTTTTATTTGGAATAAAAGAAGTGTTTTATGTGAAATTACGATTTTACCCTTCTTACGGACTTTTACGACTTGATTTTATCAAAAAATAGAAAACGTGTGGAAAACCTTCTGTGTCGCCAAACGACAGGCTGTCGTCGCCTGGCGACAGACCCTATCGCGCGGCAACAGGTGGTGTTGTTGGCGACAGAGGCGTGTTTTATTTCTTTACAAACTCTAATTCGTATTATCAATTTCGAACTATTTCATGATAAATAGCGTCTTTAGACCTCCGTTTTTAATCACCAATTCTCATCAACTCTCATTAAGAATTTCTTGATTCTCTCTCTCTTTCTAAACCAGCCCTTTTTAAACAAAATTCCGCATTCACAAGATCTAGACACACCTAGCCAAATTTGAAGTTACCTTCGCCCTAGACGTGAAAGGTTTGATATTTCTGAGGGTTTGGTCCCAAATCTCTATTTCAATTATTTAATTTAATTCCTTAATTTTATATTTTCCTTGAAGTTACTAACGTGTGTATTTTGTTATTAGAAAAAGGTACGAGGCATCCAAGTAAGTGCTTTAATTGTTTTATTGATATTATGATATAGAAATCATGTTTAGGTTGTTATGTTGATTCTTAGTATCACGTTAGGATGCTTTTCTTAGTATCATGTTAGGATGCTTTTCTTAGTAAGATGTTTCGGGTAAAGAATAAATTTCTAGTATCAAGTATGATTAAAAGAATGCTTCCTATTTCTTTCCTAATATCATGTATCATGTTAGGGCTAAAGCTTTGATCTTTAATTTTTAGTGACATGCTATAGGGTTTTTTTTATTAATCCTGTTAGTATCATGCGTGCCTAGGATATTGCAATTATTATTATGCTTTAATATGATTATTTTTACAATTATTATAATTATTATTATTATGATTATTATCATATTGCTTGATATTATTATTGTTATTGCTTGATCACGCCTTTTATGCATGTTTAAAGGGAATTTGTACTTGTAATCAGGCTTAATAAGATTATTAATAATCTTGTTTAGGGTTAATATGATTATAATTCAAGTGATCGCCAATAATAGATTTATTTGTGCATTAATATTCAACCAACATAGATTAAACAGGTTTAGGGTTAACCTATTGATTTCATGTTAGTTAGAAAGCGTACATGAATACGAGAAGAATAAAGTAGAAGCCTATTATTTGGGCAGACCTATTGGAGTTAACGATCTTTTGGATCGTTAAGGGGTGTAACTTTCACCCTGTGAACGGTTTACAAGTTCCTAAAACTTGTTGGCGACTCTTTTGCTCTAGATTCCTTCCCTTTGGAAGCCACCATGCTTAAGTGTATGATCACAATGGGGTTCAAGTTTGGGGTAATGCTTGAAATATTCCCTACAGGTATACAAGAGATGTTAGGTATAGTCATGGTGTTTAAATTGTTAAAATATTTAGAATTAGGCTTGGTAATATAATTTCTAGCTCTTGTAATCACGCTATGGGAGATAGGAATAGGCTTGGGGCATTTTTTTGGTTTAGTCAAGAGGTGATGGAGTGTGAGAGGGAGAAGTGGCAGGCTGCCCGAGCTACATTATGGAAGTGTGAGTGCTTGGGTCAGGTTGTAAGGAAGAGGGAGAGGTGAGAGTGACAATGTGAGAGGAGGAGGGGATGCCAGTGCTAGTGGCTGGAGTGGTAACCCAGCGAGCGATGGAAAATCGGCGGCTGGAGCAAAAGCCGAGGCTGGGGTGGCTTGCCTCGATCTAGCGCCCGAAGGGTGAGCGACGGGTAGGTGTGGCTGCCCCTACTTCGTTAGGTGTGTGGGGGGGAGGGGGGTTTGGGGAGTGCTTTGCGATTTCAAATGGGAATAGAACGGATTATAATCTAAAAAATTATAATCCTCTTTTTGAGGTGAGTGAATTTTGGAGAAAGGGAACTCGACAAATTTCACATGAAGAAAAATAAGAATTTTTCCATTGGACATATCATAGCACTTTGAACCACGATGGTTGGAAACGAGACCTAGATAGACGCAAGGAGTGGACCATTCTTGCAGCTTATGTATAGAAGTGGTAGGGAAGAGGGGAAAACAAAGACAACCAATAACACGCAATTCCGAATAAATTGGATCGCATTGATATAGAACTTGAGTGGGTGACTGAAATCCTAGAACTTTGGTTGGTAAGATGTTTAAGAGATAAGTAGCCATTTCTAAAACATGGTGCTAAAAAGGGAGAGGTAATGAGGAATGAGCAAGTAAGGTCCGAATGATGTTGTTTATATGGATTTAATGTGTTGCTCGACTTTTCCATTTTGTGGTGAAGCGTAATGACAAGAGAGTCAGATTAACATACCATGGTGATCAAAGAATTATTTAAAAGTCCCATTAATATATTCGGTGCCATTGTCACATTTAAAAGTTTTTATGTTACGTTCGAATTGTGTTTGAACAATTGAATAAAAAGATTTGAATAAGTGTTTTACTTAGGATTTTTTGCAATAGAAAAAGTCCATTTGTAATCATCAAGAAACAAAACATAATAACAATGGGCAGCAGAACTAATAACAAAAGTTGTTTAAAGATCACTATGAATCCCCTCAAAAAAAAAAAATAATCACTATGAATGTTGTCAAAAGGAAGAACAGTGTGCGACACAAAA